CAAATATTATTGAAACTCTAACTTATAACTTCATTTCTGATGAAAGTTTCCTTACAACACTTATTTATAAGGATAATAATAATTATTATAATTGTAATTATAATTAGAAGATAATAGTAATAACAATATCAATTAAAACAGTAGTGAAAACAAACGACACAGAGAATATAGTGGAACAATACTTTTTCCAGCTTTCTTCGTCACAACAACGAACTAATAGAATCCATTATGAACGGAAAGCGATCAAATATTAAAAAATATGCAAAATTACTTGACAAGGATGATGAAACAGCTTCGAAGTGAAAGCCTAATTGTTTAAAACGATTCAATCTACTAACAGTTGGGAAAGAATAAATCTATCCCATCAAGGATAAGTTTAATCAGTTAAAGTAAATAGGATCAATCAAAAAGGCGTCACCCTGACTAGTAGACCCCAGAATTTGAAATTTTAGGTAAAAGGAAAATGAACCAGTGATCAATGATTAGTATAGAGAAGTCGGTATGCATACCTTCTCCGTTGCGCTTCATTCTCTTGCTTCACATTTATAATTTATTTATCTTTGCGTAAACAATTGCACAGAATAAACTGATCCAAATGAATCTATATTTGGCTTCTAATTGCCGTCTTTGCACATACGGGGTTAACGAAAGTTTAGTATAAGGAATTAGATGGAAGATATGTTTACATGGTACGTTAAATCGTTCGTCGTAATCGGAGTCGGATCTGAAGCCACTAAATTGACAAACTCTAATTTGAATGTAGTGCAACCTGCAAAACTGCATCCGCAAAGAACCTTTTGAACTATATGCACTTGACGGAATCAGTCAACTCAGTCTCTCCAGTCTGACGCAAGCGGCGAAGCCAGTTCAGCAAAGACGTGCGCATACTTACTTACTAATGCCTGTTACCCCCAATGGAGCATAGGCCACCCACCAGTATTCGCCAACCTACTCTGTCCTGAGCTTCCTTTTCCAGCTCTGTTCATATTTTGCCCATTCTTCTCATATCTTTCTCTACTTCTCGGAGCAATCTGTTTGTCGCTCTTCCTCTTTTCCTTTTACCTTAAGGGTTCCAAGTGAGGTCTTGTCTTGTGACGCAGTTGGGTGCGTACCATAGTGTGTGTCCTATTCACTTCCACCGCTTCTTCCTGATTTCCTCCTCCACTGGAATCTGGTTTGTTCTCTCCCACAGTACGTTGTTGCTGTTGATGGTGTCTGGCCAACGAATCCGAAGTATTTTGCCTAGACAACTGTTAATAAACACTTGTATCTTCTGGATGATGGCTTTCGTAGTTCTCCAAGTTTCCGCTCCATACAGTAGAACTGTCTTGACATTTGTATTGAAAATCCTGATTTTGGTTTTGGTTGAAAGTTGTTTGGAGTTCCAGATATTTTTCAACTGTAGAAATGCAGCCCTTGCTTTGCCAATCCCCGCCATCACATCTGCATCGGATCCACCTTGATTGTCGATGATGCTGCCCAGATATGTAAAGGTGTTAATGTCCTCCAAGGCATCTCCATCAAGAGTGATTTGGTAGGTGCATGTTGTGTTGCATCGGAGAATTTTGATTTTTCCTTTATGTATGTTGAGACCTATGCTGCAGAGGCTGCTGCTACACTGGTCGTCTTCTCTTGCATTTGTTGTTGAGTGTGCGATAGAAGAGCCAGGTCATCTGTGAAGTCCAGATCGTCCAGCTGCGTCCTAACTGTCCAGTTGATACCGTGCTTCCCTCCAGATGTCGACCTCTTCATAATCCAGTCGATCACCAGGCGGAAGAGAAATGGTGAGAGTAAGCAACCTTGCCTGACACCGGTCTTCACCTCAAAAGAGTCTGTTAGCTATCCTTCGTGCACCATTTTGCAGTTGAATCCATCGTAACAGTTCCGTTTGATGTTGACTATACTCTCAGGCATGCCGTAGTGTCGAAGAAGCCTCCAAAGTTTTTTCCTGTCCATGCTATTGAATGCATTCTCGTAGTCAATGAAGTTGATGTAGTATGTTAAGTTCCATTCAACTGATTGTTCCACAATGATCCGTAATGTTACAATTTGGTCAGTACACGATCGATCCTTACGGAATCCAGGCTGCAAGGAAACCTCTTAGGACTCTACTTAATGATAATAGAGCTACGAATATATTTCAGGAACAACCAGAGAAACAGTTAGGCGACTATGTAAGTGATTCCCATACCGAGGCAGGATGGAGCGATATCAAAAAGGCTGTAGAAACAACAGTGATACCTGCTAGTAAGGTAAAGCATAAGGTTAGGGGAAGCCATGGATTTGAGTAGCATTTACCGAACTGATGGATGCTCGATAGCTCATCCCGCCTGGCTCTGAGTACGATGAGGTGCAGAGTCATAGACCACATCTTCACACTACGGCAGGTCCTGGAACACACACACATCTAGGCGTCCGACATTAGTTGTCTTCCTGGACCTTAGGTCGGCGTTCGACTCTGTCGATCGCGAGGTTTTGTGGCAAAGTCTAACTAATATAGTATCTAAAATATTGGACTCAATAATACTTCGACACTTAACGAAAGCTCGTGAAGAGCAAACTCGAGAAAACCAGTCTGGTTTTCGACCTGGACGTGGTTGTATAGACCACGTGTTCACACTCCGACAGGCCCTGGAACATAGACACACATTTAGGCGTCCTGCAATAGTTGTTTTCCTGGATCTAAAAGCGGCATTTGACTCTGTTGATCGTGAGGTTCTGTGGCAGTGTCTGTCATTGAAAGGTGTACCAAAGAAGTACACTAACCTTATACAAGCTCTCTACTCGAACACCACTGGTCGAGTGAAAGCTTATGGCGAACTGTCATCTGAGTTCTCTACATCAAGTGGTGTCCGTCAGGGATGTCCACTTTCTCCATTCTTGTTTAATTTTATCATAGACATGCTCATAGAAATGACCTTATCCTGGTCTGAATTTTCAGTAGACCTTCTACCAGGAGGCTCGCTTATTGACTTAGAATATGCCGAAGACATAGTCCTACTTGGTGAAGACGCTGACAAAATGCAGTCTTCTGACTACCCTAAGCAACAATACAATCATGTTTGCGATGCGGTTCTCACCCTCGAAATGCAAAATTTTGCTTCAAGACTGGGTTGCATCGGCACCTGGACTAGTGATAGGGAGTGAAGTAGTCGAACGTGTAGACCGCTTCACTTATCTTGGGAGTCTCATCAGTGCCGATGGCCTGGTGACTGACGAAATCTCTGCACGGATACAGAAGGCTCGGTTGGCTTTTGCCAACCTGCGTCACTTATGCCGTAGGCGAGATAAGTTTGCTGACTAAAGGAAGAATGTACTGCGCAGCAGTTCGCTCTGTCCAAATTTATGGCTGCGTAACATGGCCAGTCAGAGTAGAAGATATTCGTAGGTTGCTTGTTACTGTTCGTGTATCTAGAAGTCTTGATACTGTCTTAGAAGCATTCCTCGTTTATTATGGGACACCTGAGTAAGTAATGCTGCCATTAAGAAACGAGTACTAGGTAAGGATGGCAGATCAACAGATGAAGTATTAAAACTTCATCAGTTGAGGTGGTTGGGACATGTGTTGCGCATGCCTGACCACTGACTGCCTCGACGAGCAATGTTTTGTGGTGTAGGAATGAGTTGGAAGAAAGCTAGGGGCGGACAAACCAAAACATGACACAAATCCATGAAGTCACTGACAAGTGGACTGAGTCATGTTGGTAGATGCAGGCTACCTGGTTGGAGTCGTGAGATGATAGTAACCAATGGTTAGAGACCTTGAACGACATGGCTTACAATTGTTTGCATTCACATGCAGCTGCATCCATCTCTCTAATTCTAACCTTCTGAATTCCTCATCATCTTGATCTTTTTCTACTAACTTTATTTCACTCGATTATATTACTTCTTATCTTTCAGATTACTGCTAATACCTACCTTCACAACCTCTACAACTATGAGACTTGTGAATCGACAATTACATCACCAGAACTGATGAATACAACCTTAAAACAAATTGTTATCTTTTAAAACAACATATCCAAACCCTCTATTGCATTACGTAATCTCAAGTCAAATAACCAAATTTAACTTCATTTTTAGTGAAAATAATGTTTTATTACATTTTTTTTTGCCGATAAATAAACTTACAATATAACAACGCTATATAATTAATTAATTATCGTAAAATTTGAGCAAGCTCTCTTCAAACAAAACGAAAAAAACAAACAAACGAACCAGAAAAGCGCTAGTAGGAACAATAAATAAACATCAATGAGTAGTAAGTAGTAAGTAGTATAGTGTAGTACAATAAGAGAACATACATCAAACACAAAAAAAAGGAAAAAATAGAAGACACTAATTAATTCAACCTCTATTCCAACTGAGAGAAGATACACAGAAGAAAATAATCATAAATATATGTGTTAGTAAGCAATTCAGATCAAGAAAAAAAATACATATATATATATTGTGAAAACATACTACTAATAAAAATCACATCCAATACGTTAGGTAATAATAATAATAATAATAGAATATAACAACTACACACAATAATGAAACCAACCATATACATATATTCGTAGTCATTCAACAGTGTGACTAGTTTATCTGCAGAAAGTACACATGATTTTAGTCACGAAGAAAAAAAATATGAGTAAAATAACTAAACTTTAAAAATATTATTAGAATAGAATAGAACAGGATAGAATAGGAGTGTTGTTAGCCATTGGGTGTATGCAATTATTTCGTGTTTTTTTTTTCATCTTTATTGATTGATTGATTGATTGATAGAACAACACTAAGACACTAACACTAATTTTTCAAAAGAATCAATCACATGTAAATAAAAATTCTTATTGTGTCGCATTACATTGACAATTCATGACAAACAAGTCAAACACGCACACACACACCAAAAATTATCCATGACGACAATGTGTTGGTTTATTGGTGGAGGTAACGCAAAAAACAACAAAATATCACAAAATAGTCAATTCACTTCATTTCTTTTTCTAACTTCTTTGATGCGGTATATGACCACCATTGGCCAGACGAACTTGACGACGTTGAAAACCATGATTGATTAATGGACCACGACGTAAACATTTAGAGCGTTGTGTATCAACGCATAGATTGGAATGATGATTATTTTGATTACGACAAGCATTCCAACGTGCTAACATATGACGTGTTCCATTGGAATTTCTAGTTGAGGATTGATGTATATGACCAGGTCGTAATCCATTACGTGGATGAGATTTTAATATTTCTGTTTTTGATGTAACAGACATCATTGTGTTTCCAGGTGAATCTTTGTTCTTTGATTTTTTATGATTTTTTGATCGCACAGGTGGTTCAGTATATCTTTCTAAACTACAATGAGAGCTATAACAGTTAGAATCACTGTTTGCAGAAGGTGAACGAGATTTATACTCGACTAGAGATTCTGATCGTCGACCAGCTACTGAATGTGGACGACTTGGATATCCATCATCTGGATCAAACTGCATGAATGACCAGTCAGAACCTATAAAACAATGACAAAAAATTATAAAGGATTGGCAACTATTAATAGTGTCTAATACAACTTACATAATAACACAATTATACGGTGAAAATTACTTTGACGATTTTAGAAAACTGAAATCTACTATTTGGAATGTAGCTTCAGCTACGACTTAGTAGTTTTAACTGTCTTGATTTTCAAATCGTTATTCAGGTCGAATATCATTTGATTTTTCCTAATAAAATACATGGGCCACCGTTTTTAACACGTAATTTATGTCTTTTAACGATAAAATATATATTTCAGAGCGTATATAAAAAAATTTACGAGCTTTCACTTCACAAAGTACAATCCGAGACAGAGCGTTGGCTGGTAATCTGCTGAAAAAAGAATGAACTGTTTACTTCTGTTGGGGATGTTAGATCCCCGGGAACTCGCTTGATACAGGCCTTATTTTGGATTTCACGTTTGCGAGCATGGGCTGATCAGTTGACCTTGAGATTTCATTTCCCACCAGGAAAACCTTTGGCTGTGATTGGCTGCTGTGTATTTTAGTGCGCTATTTTTATGACTGTCCCAAGGACGTTTCTATAATGTATAAAAAGACGAGATTTGTGTGCTTGATTGCATTATGCCTGCTGGGTGTTTGTAGAATATACTTTCTACGCTTATCAAGACTTCTCTTTTGCAGTTTTGGGATCAAGGTAGCCTACCTGGACGCTGGTGCATTGTCTCATTCGCGTTTATCGACTAAGGTGAACTCGAATCAGCTTCAAGTGTACCTAGTGACGAACCTAACAACTTCCAACTTCCAATCATTCAATGGTTTTAAAGGAAACTTGTTGAAATATTCCGTGCTGAGAATTCCTTGCAGTACTAAACATATCATATTGAATAAAGCAATGATAATTATCATTATTAGGCATGCCTTAAATTTCAGTGGCTACATTTATAATTGATTAATGAGTTGAATTACATTTTAGTTTAGTTTGAAGTGATACATGGGTCCCTACTATTTTACAGTGTGGACACATCGAACATAGGCCGCGTAGCAGCACTGCGTATTATACAGACTACCAGAAATTCGATAATAAATAGCGAGAAAATCCCAGAGTATGGGATGAATACATTCGTAGGTAAAGTTTACAAAAAAAAAGTCAATGATTACCATCTAACAACTGACTTTCACTTAATTGGGGGCTTAACACCAATTTCTGACAATTCAACAATAATAATACCACAAATATTCTTCAAGGAACTTTGTAAAATTTATTTCTCTGAAGATCTATGAAAGATTTTAAAGAATAGTGATAAACGATGGCAAAGTTTAATATATTATGCTGTATAACTTTAAATATTAACTACGAAATTCAATTACACGTTATTTATGTGAAGTTTTGTGATTGTTAGGTGAAGCACTGAAGCATACACTTATTAAGCATAGAAAGATTTTATGAACTAATAATGGCGATTCCCACTGAGTTTGTTTTTGTTTAGTTTGTAACTACAGATCTGATCTGACTGAATAGTTAGAAAATATAGCAATACAAAATCAACTTCATCAGATTAACTATTGACATTACTAACAATGACGTCATGGATTATATAATGTTACTATAGATGTGGTGCGCGCTACTTATAAGTAGTAGTATGACGCGAGTGAAAACGTAATGTCTGGCAGCAGCAGAAGATGGGGGAAGATCAAGAAAGGAAGAAGAGTGGCAGCACAATGGAATTTGTATGAAACGCATGAATAGTGAAATGTCAGACAATGGATTGATGATGGATTGAAGATTTGCAAATTAACGATTGACAACATGGTTTTCCGATTTTACTGAGTAACTCTGTAATTTGCGATAAATACAATTCGGTTGCCCTCACCTGTGTTCTCCTTCACTACATAGATAGTAAGTAGGTTGACAAATATTCATCAAAAAAGATTTTTCAAGGAAAATTCATCTCTGAAAAGCATGTGACTGATTGTCTTAGAACTTACAGTCAATAAAAAAAGAAAGTTCCTAGAATTGTAAAAGTGTTGTTATAGGCTAAATTCACAAAGATATTTATTTATTTGCCTGTGATATAAAGTATTATTTATATATGTGCACAGCATTTTTAATTCATTCATACAACAAATCAATCTTTGGTTGTAAGCAGTTGAATAGTTAGTTATCATGAAAAATCAATGAATTTCATATTATTCTGCTATGATCATTGTTTTTATTTTATTGAGAAACCACTGGATATTGATTAATTAGCTAGACAGATGATGAATAATTATTACATGTGAAAGCTTAAAGGTATCTATCTATTAATGTGATAAGCTATGAATTGCAACAAAACTCTGTTTATTATTCAGATAAAACTCCTTGATTTTTAATGATTTTCCAGTTGACAGTTGGGATAATGAAAACTATACTCAAATTATACATATATATGTGTTCTAGGAAAATGTCAACTGCATTATTGTCTTCAATGGTTATTTTACAAACAGTAGTCTATAATTAAATCATTAGTGTAAGGTTTCAACAATTAGAGTTATGGAGATCAGTATTTGTACACATTGAAGTCGTCAACCAATCATTGTTAAACTACCATTAGAAACGTGGAAACACAGGACAGCCGTTTTGTCCTATTATGGGACCCATCAGCAGTGCGCATCCATGACTTTTGCACCTCGCAAGATCCAAACCCAGGACCTTCGGTCTTGTGCACGAACGCCTAACCCCTGGACCACTGAGCCACAAATCTCCATAACTCTATTTGATAAAATCGCAAAATGCGCTCACTAGTGACTAGCTTCGTGAGGAAATTCTCGGAGTTCTAGTGAGAAGACGTGACCAAAGGAGTTTGACCGTGTTGGGTGTAAGCAGTAACCACTAAAGACAAATACGTTAGGTCGCGCAAAATCTCCAGATTGATCAGAGTTAGACATGAACACAGTTTGATGCCGGCCCAGTGGTCCAGAGGTTAGGCTTTCAGGCGGAGGATCGAAGGTATTCGGTTCGGATCCTGCGAGCTGAAGGAGTCGTGGATGCGCACTGCTGGTGAGTCCCATACCAGGACGAAACGGCTGTTCAGTATTTCCACGTTTCTAATGGTGGTCTAATAATGATTGATTGATGATTTCAATTAGTAGTAAGGTTACCAACATCTAGTCAAAAACATGCTCAGTCGTTGAATATAAGTTACATGGTGATTGCAAAGTTATAGGGAGAAGATGAAATGGAAATAAGATATGGAAGAGAGAAATGAAAGATGATTGTTCAACCGGTGAATATAGATAAAAAGAAGAAGAGATAAATATTTTGAAAACTTAGAAAATCAGATGAGTGGTCAGAACTATGATTATATAATGGACAGAATATATTGCTTCTGAACTCAGAGGTGGCTTGAGTTGATAAATTACCATTTTCGCAGCTGAAATTACGAAAAAAACTTAGCTAGACCACCATCGAAAACTTGGAAGCATTGGACAGTTATTTTGTCCTATTATGGGATGCCTAGGCAGTGAGTGGGCATCCACAATCCTGCATGTGGGAATCGAAGCCAGTACATTCGGTTTCGTGCGAGAACGATTAACCTTTAGACTATTGAGCGGGCATCTAAAGGTACTGAAGTCTAACTGCGATCAATCCATGATCGTGTGCAACCGCATCCATTGCTTGTAGTGGATAACCATCTCATACAGATTTAGCTTTATGGAGCAACGTGTTTCCTCAGCTTTATAGATATAACAGTAGTCATTAAAATCAAAAGCTTCAAAGACTAGACAGTCCTTGCTACCTTTTTGTTTGTAATTTTTAAATACAGAAGGATACAATACTTACAAGTCACATTATCCTCTCCCAGTTGTTGTTTCAACTGAAAAAAGTAGTGGAACTCACCAAATGTTTGAGAATATAACTGGTAAGAAACGATAACATCAGGCTTCACACTAATTGCAGCTCATGATGATCTACAGTCAACTTAAACTTCTTCAAAGTTGTTCGTTGTATTCTGTATTCAATGTAGTAGGAAAAATAAACATCTCCGTGGAACATACAATTCCTGGCTTGCATCAGCTCTCTCTAATCGATTTTACTTCATGAATCTGTTAAGAACATTTTTAATAATTCTCTTCCCTCAAATAACCCTAACCAATCAAAATATCGCGTTGGTTAAATGAAATGGGAGAGAAAATCTCAACTCCTACCTTATTGCTACTATAGCAATTAGTACAATGTAATAATAGTTCAAGGTCAACAGATACAAACAGGTCACTAGACTTATTTATAAAATTCACAATATGGAATCGATTTCCATCATTTGACTTTAACATAACAACAATTCTATTAAAGATATAAACAAAACTAATCGACATATAGAACAAACAAACAAGCTCTGTGATGAAAAGTGATTTCTAATACAAAACTCTAAAATAATCACCACATATTTCTTCCCATTTAAAGTAACATATAATTAATATAGGAATGGTATAAAAAAACTACATTAAATAGTTTCTTGATAAGATAAATTAGTTGTATGTGATATGACTGTCAAAAAAGGGATCTAAAATGTTAAAAGTAGTAGAAGCTGAAGTCTTGTAAATTTTTTTTTCAACCAAGTCAGGAGCTGCAATCTATCAACAGCTCACTGACCGAGATCGGCTACCCCAGCGCATTCATAAGGAAGTAGATGGTTGATGTAAAAAAGAAGTCAGTAATTCCGACCTTCCGAAAGAAGCTATTATTTATTAAATTACAATTCGACGGAGATGTGGCCTGCGACTTTCCTTTTATTACGTAATGGTTTTAATGTTTTGTACTGATTATTTTAAGTCTACTTATCCACGTTTAACCTGCTATTGATAAAACTTTTGTTTTTTTGAAACCATGAATCGATCAATGTTAGACCACCATTCGAAACCTGGAAGCACTGGACGGCCGTTTCGTCCTGGTATGGGACTCATCAGCAGTGCGCATCCACGACTCCTGAACCCCGCAGGATTCGAACCCAGGACCTTCGGTATTGTCCGCGAA